AGTCCCTTCTCACTCGCGATAATACGGTTACGTCGTCGGTGGTGTCCTGCGAGAGCGCGAAATTGCACATTCCCCTCCTTCTCCCGTCCGTTGCTTGCGCGCTCGTTGCACAAGTGTAGGATACCGGTGTCTGGCGCGTGAAGCTCGGGGAGATTAAGTCCGGGCGAAAAACGCTCGCGAGCTGGGAATTCCAGAACTGCGGGAACGCGTGTTGCCTTTTCATGGGTCAAGGGGGGTGGAGGGAGGAAAAAACGTAGGCGATTTTTTGCCGGTGCGTTTCCCGCTGAGTGAAGGTGGATTTTTCAATACACGGGAATTTCCGATCGCAAGCTCGGTGTATAAAAGTCATAGATTACCGTGGCTCGAGTGCGCGTTGGAGGAGGGGGGGGGGAAGAAACTTTGGTCGATTGTTTCGGATGATTTAGGATAATTTCGCGATTTACGGGCTCGCATTAACCATACCCCGGTCCCCGGAAGTTTCTTGCGCCCCCTCGGCCACACGTATACGTATGTGGCGCGCAAAGTTGCACCACCAGTGGGCCAAGTTTTTGCCCGCAGTTTGCATTTGTCACTGCGCGGATCAATTAATAACGGGGGAAAACTCGACCGACTGTATCATACACTCGTGTTGGAGGAGCTGATGCGGGAAACAAAAAAATCCATAGCAATATACTATTTTTTTCTTTCCAGGCCAACTTCTCGGAAGAAACTCGCGAGCGAGCGATCCTTGTACGCGAGAGAGCGTTTTCGACTCGTGTCGAGTCAGGGGCACGGAGCTTAGCCAAGATTTACCACTTCTCGAAGTCGCTCTGGCGTGAAAATCCAGACTCCGGTTTTTGGGAAGCGGACGAGGCTGATTGTGCCTACATACCTATATAAATACCCGATGGCACGACACACAAAAGCCTCTCTCTATGAAATTATCTTGTTTCGCTCGTGGGACTTTTTTTTACATCACCGGACAGCCGCACGGGGGTAGTTGGGAAAAATTTGCATTCGCGCTCCCTCCGGCGTTTGTAATGACGGATCCTCCGATTGTACGGCACGTCCGTTTACATTTATGGAGATTCGCGGGGCCGCAGGGGCTGATTGGTGTTTGACGAATTTCCAGAGAACCGAGTTTTGGATTTAACGTTTCCACCGACGAAGCTATAGTTTGGGGGTGGTACAAGGGATCTCGTTGAAAATATATTTAAAATTAAAATTCGTTTCGACGCAACTCGTGAGGGGTTACATTAATCACAGGCGGCTCGCGTTATTTATTGCTTGAGAGGAGCACAGATAGCGGGGAGGGGGGGGGTGATTAATGACGTCGCGGATTCGGACGTCGCGCTTCAATCAGCTTTTTTTCTTTCTTTAATACTCGATTCGGCGAACGAAGAACACAAAAGGTTTTTACAGTTTATCGTTTCTCCTGCGCATCTCACTTTTCAATCACACGAGCAAATATCGACGGGATTCCTCAAACGCGGGCGATATCGGGGCATTCATAATTGATCCAGAGAGCCATTTTTCATCACTGGTAAACTCAATCAAGTTTTTTTTTCGTAAAATCTGCAAGTCCGATTCGCGCGCATGGAACAGCCATGTGGGTGGCTAAATCTCACGGGGGGAGGGATAAAACAAAGAACTTTGTTCAAGAGGGTGTGGGAGTATATGCGAAATAAAAATTAAAAGAGTAGGAGCCGGCGGGGGGAAAAAGTCGAAAAGAGAAGTTCTCCGGCGCGCGAGGGCTGAAAGCTGCATCCGGAGAAAAAAGGAGCGCCGAGATTTTCGGCGGCGCGCTCTGAGAAAACAACGCCAAAGAAAGAGTTGAAAGTGGAAACACGTATTGAAAGCCAGCGCGCGGATGGGGGAAACAAAATTTCGGCACTAAAAGCCCGGCGCGCATAAATTGTTTCGGCTCGCGTGCTTCGTTTGTACGCGCGTTTTAATGAAAAATTTTCGATTGACCAAACAAAATGCTCGGTTTGGGAGGGAAGGGACCCCCATCGGGTAATTAAAAACGCATGCAGGGAAAGGGAAAAATTTTCAAAGCCACGAATTAATTATCTCGCAGCCGAGTGATGATGAAACGGCTGGTGGTGCAACAAAGGAAGTCGGAACGTAAGATATACACTCGCGCGCAATACAAAATACGCGGAGCCAAGTGGGGAGGGCGAGAGCAAAGAAAACACGAGGGAAATAGTGATTGCCGGCTCTCTTAATCGATCGAGTTCTTTCATTTTACCCGAAGGGGTATATGTACGCGCTCTTCTCGAGTGCTTGCCTGCACTTCTCGTTTGGGTGCATTTAATCTCGATTTTCGACCATCCCGAAGCCGCGAAATGAATTTATCCATCATCTTCATTCGTGTACACCCGCGTAATAACAAACAATAAAATTGAAAATTCCGATCGATCAAAGACGAGGAGGCACACAAAGGCCTGCACCTATATATATGTACACAGCCTCAAAGGCAAAGGGGGTGCAATCTCGCGAAAGCGAGTCCATAGCAGCGGCAAAGGAGACTATACCTCAAATCCTCGAGCGGCGTGTGGACGTATTCCCGTTATTGAAAATATCGACTGAGCTCGGTGTTATATGTAGGTACCTATACCCCGGGAGGTGCGCACCTCCGATTCTGCGGCTTACCCATCGTTTGAAGCCCGCGGTTATCGCCACAAGCTCGCCCGTACGTGGGTGCGAGAGTGTACCTGTACACACCGTGGAGCGATATCATCGGGGAATTATAGTAGTATAGGACAAGGCGATTGCTTTCATTTTAATTGCGAGGCCAAAGATTTTTTTGTTCGGGAACGACAAGCGGTGTTTTGCAGGCGGGGATAAAAAGATTTTCTTTTCCATTAAAAATGTCAGATATTCCGGAGATGGAGGAGTAAGCATCTGCTCCTTCCAACGAGGTCAGGAGTTTGGAAAAACAAAAAATAAAGGAGCCCTCGGGGGATGGTGCAGAGACCCGTAGAGGACGGGATAAGATAAACAAAGCCGCGAAAACGTATACGGGTGAATTCGAGGTACGTCCCAAGACGATCCTCCGAGGGTGGAGTTACACGCTCGATAAAGTCGAGGCTGCGCTTCTGAAAAAAAAAAAAAAAAAAAAAAAAAAAAACACGCGAGTGGAAAAGTTTTTCGTTGCTCAAATAGTAGCCGAAAGGTCAGAAGTATCCCTGCCACTGGCAGCTTTACATTGTTTTCGAGTAAAAATTCAGTCGAGCCCCTGAGAATTTTATATTTTACAACGAGAAGAGGCGAGACTCGGAAGTTGGCCCACTGCAACTTTCAGACATAATAAATTAACAGCTGATTTTCCAACTGATGGGGGAAAAAAGGCCAACTCGTGCCCAAAGAGCGGTGCTGGAAGACGCTCCATTATTAACTCGCAATTTCATCCGTCAAAGGAAACTTCGAGGCTTTCGAAGAAGAAAAGCGCGGTCTCGGACCGATAATACTGTTTCTTCCCGATCTCGCGTTGAGCAACCTGCTCTGCAAAAATTGCCCCGAGTAACAATAACCAGCGCATGGAAAAGTGGATTATCCGACACAATCAAAAAAAGAGAAAACGATTACCGAGTCCGAGGTAATACATCGAGTGATGTCCAGGAGCTCGGTAGGAGTAGTCATCAAGAGCTTAAGCCGAGTTCTAATTACGCTCACGCGCGAGGGTAAGGGTGCTAGGATGGAGCGGGGCTTAGTCATTAGTATGAATAAGTAAACCGAGTGTACTGCGACTCCCCGGAGAGGAATTAGACTCTTTTAATTAGAGAGCCCCCTTTTTACGGGGAATTCAAATTGCCTGATCTCGTCGACGATTTGGCCCGAGTCTTTTAATCTCCCGCTCGGGGATGCAACAGCGGCAATTTTTGTTGAGGAGTTTGCATCGTGTTCACGAAGCTTACTGGATTTTCCTTTTTTTCGTGAAAATCGAAGGAAAAATATTTGAGTTACCAGAGTAGACGCGAAATTTTAAGTGGATTCTCTCCAGTGCTTGATAAATCTCAGGATATGGTAACCAAAAAACGGTAGGGCACACGAATTCTACAGCAGAGTGTTAATATAATTTAGTTTAATACTCTGAAGGAAGAAAAACTACATCATGTTGTGTATACTATGTCAAATGTCCACCAAACGGAAAAATCATACTATCTGCCATGTGTTGTGACAAATACTTTTTAGAAAAATCTCAATTTATCCAGAAGAATATAATATTAAATATGTATACATTCGTTCATACATTGATAATATACAAAAACGTCGTACTCTTTGACTCTCTTTGGCTGGAGTTTTTCTGAGTTGTCAAAGTCGTCACCCCACATAAGGTATAGGACACGTATAGTAATGTTTATAGAATAGAACAATACTTTCACACAAAAGTGGTGGATGACCCGCAAGAAAAAAAATTTCATTATACTTTCAAGTAGACAACACTTGTCCACACATTACGTTTCATTCAACACGGAGTGAACGATCGTTCACATTAGCAATTCTGCTCAAAATTATTGTATCAACGTGCTTATCGCTATTGTATGAATTTGATTAGCCCCACACGTGTAGAGAGTATTAACTTTTTCTTCTTCGATCAATATTTTTTACGTACATAACAGTTCATTAAGTTACAGTTACATTTTGTATAAATGGTTTTTTCACAATTTTTTTTAATCTCAAAAGAAAATTAAATATTTAACTTTCAACACATGTGCAAAGAGCCTAAGAATAGCTATTTGACTACAGTATAATCCATACTTGTAGTAATTAAAATTTACGATATTAAATTTGTATGTTCTTGATAATTTAAAAAATTTAATTCTTATGAATAAATATCAGGCTATTTTGTACTTATATATCAATGGCACAGCGTTAAAACAACGCTATTTAATTGTCTCTATCAGCCCTACGTGTTACGTGGAAATAACATACAAATCATGGATTGCTGTCTGAATTTCGTTAATTTTTTAACTTTTACATTTTTAATAACATACGTTCATTGCACCACTAAAGATATGGATCCTTTGAGTTTGAAGAATTTTCGTTGCGATTGGTATGAAACGGAAGGATTTCCTCGCATTTTCACAGACAAAGTTGGAGCCCGATTATTTCTTTCCACGAAAAGCAGTATTGAACCAGTAGAAATTAATCCTACAACTCTAATCAACACACGAGTATTAGAAACCAGTGATTTTGGTAAAGAAAAAAAGAGCATTGTAATCGTTCATGGCTGGAGATCCAGTAGTGACGAAAAATGGATAAAGACTATGATCAGGAGACTTCATGCTACAGTAAGTAAAAAAAATGTCAAAATTCATGTGATCGAAGAATAATAAATTCAATACCAATACGTTGAAACAACAGAGAGATGTTAATATATTACTGGTTGATTGGACGAATATCGCTAGCAACTTAAATTACACTACAGTTATGAAGAACCTCCCTGCCGTTGCCCATGAAATATATCAGTAAGTATATGTATATATAAATATATTCAACATCTATCCAATTGTACTGTGTGGTTAAATCATTTCAATAATAAATATACGGAGATAAAATTATAGGCTCATCAGAGCTTTGCGATTCAAGCAGTGGAACCACATTACAAAGACAAGTATTTTATGGAATAATCTGTACTTCATTGGGCATGGACTTGGCGCCCAATTGAGTGGACGTGTTGCGTATTTGTTGCAACAAAATACTTTTTGGAAAGTTAATAGAATCACCGGCTTGGATCCAGCACAACTGTGTTTCCCGCACAATTTCACTGATTACACACTCGACAAGTCAGACGCTGATTTTGTGGATGTTATTCACTCCAACATTGACTATGACAATTTTCTCCCTTTGGGTATACCTTTGACTTTATAGTATTTTATTGTAAGTATTACGCTATGAATCAAAATTTGTTGAAAATTGCAGGGCACATTGACTTCTTTGTGGATGGTAGAACTCTTAGGCCAAAATGTGAGAAATTAGGTAAATAAAATGTATCTATTTGTAATTTTACAATTAACATGGCACATGTATTGATTTGCAACCAATTGTTTACTAGAATACATTGAAGCCATGACGTGCCGTCAAAAACTTTCTTATAAACTGTATTTAAAGTCATTGCCAACGTCGAAGGGTAGTAATTGCAAGTTGTACGGCCAACATTGGAATGGTACCCACGACAGTGCCCTGAAAATGCTCAATAGTGTCAAGAATAATCAAACTTGCGTTGATTGTCCGCAAATGGGAATTGATGCCGTTAACAGCGCCAAGAGGGGAACGTTTTTGGTACTTACTTCGGGACTGAACGACACATGTGGTACGTAACTTACTGATGGAGTAAGCAAATATATATTTTTGAGGTATTACTTTCTGATTTGAAATGAATTTTTTTTTTTCTTAACAAATAACCCTTATAATTTACAGCTAATGACGATGATCCCCTATAAATGAGAAAAAAGGCCATAATGCGAATGATCGTGTAGTGTGAAACTAAAAACTGTTTAACAAGACCATCTTTTTTTACGGATAGATAAGCTGTAAACACAATACTGTCAATTTGCATTAAGTGTTGATGAGATTAAACACTCTTCGTGAGCAAAGGTGCTATTTATTTTTGAATAGGTAATCTTTCGAAAAATTAATTACCAGCTGCAGGAGACATTGTCCCTACAATGTAAACTTTCTTCAAATTTATCATCTAATTGTAAAACAAAAAAAAAAAATTACAAAAAGATTTACAAAAATGTATCAAAAGATGTCATCATTATTTTGTCTTTTTAAATTTTTTAACTACTGCTTTCGATTCATAATCAAATATGAATGAAAAGTGATGCTAAAATGTGCAAAGTTAGATTGTATTTGCAAAAAAGTGAAAAATCCACATATATATGATGAAGATTTGAAAAAAAACTTAAGCACTTGACACATGCGTTTTAACAAAGATTTCTACTCTTTTTTTTTTTAATGTATAATTCCATTACATAATCCAAGTACAAATCGTCTTAAATTTTCAAAAACATCTGGCTTTTGCTTTAATTTTATAGAAATCTCCTCGATCCCAAACATGATAAAGCTGGTGCGCGTGTGAAATAAAATTACTCGCACACAGATTAACTGTCCTCATGAATTTCACATTTATCTCGGGTACATCAATTTTTAATCGAGTCTCACCGAAAGAGTATAAAAAACGTGTAACCCAAGTATACCTCGCCCTAGGAGATATTGGGCAAAACGGGCCCGGATAATTGCGGAAATCTATAAAAGTAACCGGAAAAAGGGCTAAGCCGAGGAAATAAAATTCACGACATACGGGAAATGGGACAAGAAAAAAAAAAAAGGAGGGGAGGGGCATAAAAGCCCCGAGTAAGAAAGTCGAGGAGAGGTAAGCCGATCTTTTGCTCTCTGTCTCCGGCGCGGGAGAAAAGGGATCCCGGACGCGAAGGATGGATATCAAGCTTATTACCCGCGGTACGGAAGCTAAGAGTAACTCCGGGGCTCTCTCCTCCGCGCTCATAACGTATATCAGAACTGTTCTACGATGTCGCCGTGGTGTAGCGTGACTGCGTGTGATTTAGTTACTCCTCAAACGCCAAGCAGTGGCCTTTATTTTGTTTGACCTCACTAGTGATTTTAAAAAAATGTTTATACGGGAGAAATTTTGCTCGATGACGCGAAAAAAAGCCGCAAACGATCGCGTGCAACCCATCACCGCGGCAATTATTTGCAAAAACCAATAAGGGCAGCCGGAGGCGGACGATGGGGACGGGGCAATCGCTGTCACCGGCAGAGCGCGAAAGCCACGCGGGAGCCAATACCGATAAAAAAAAATGACTGCTAATCGAATCGCATACCCAGACGTCAAATTGAATTTACAATCTCGAGATTATACCCCCCTGCAAAGCCGCCACGATGAAAAAAAAAAAGGGGTACAGAGGGGCGGGGAAATAAGATGTCGATAATTCGCAGTCACGGCGGAAGAGGGAATCCATTTCACCGGAATCAAAGTGAGCGTCATTATCGTGGCTCTTGATCAAACGGGAACTTTTTATATAGTATACGGCAATAAAACGGCCATGGGATAAGGGGCCCGGAGATTAAAACTGAGATTTAGTTGGCCGTACCTTGGGTATACAGTGAGTAGCTTTGAAAAGCATTTCTCAAGATCCGCACAAGAGTCAGAGCTACAAAACGAGAGAGCATCGATCAAATGTTCCCTTGTGCGTGTAGGTGCGCCGAATACAGTCGCGAAAGCTCATCGCCGACCACTATGACCGGTGCAGATGTGCGATCTATTTTTCACCCATAGCGAGGAAATGCACCGCAGGGCGCTAACCGGTTTTCGCGCTTCCGTCACTCCTCCACGGTTTATAAATCCCGCGCGTCTTTTCCCGGATTATTTATCTACCGAGCCGAGATTATACTCGTGCCCACGAGGAGTTGATTTACGGGGTATCTCGTCCCTCCGCGGATTTCTCGCGTTACCTGTACCAGCTGTTACAGTAACAAAGGAACGTGGCGGTAAAATTACCCTACATTGCTGTAAAAAAGGTATACCCACGAAAGGATCGGAAATTATTAATAAACCAAACTCCGAGCATTAAAGTTTTACTGTATCCTCGTGGCAAACAATAAATAACCCGGGGCGGTCGAGGGAAAACCTCCCGAGGGAGGATTACCCTGTCTTCCGCGGGCCAACGTAGTCTCGCGCTGTCAGGGATGCGCGGCTCATGATAGTATGGGGATAACCGTGGATGCGCGGCGCGTGGGGACTTGGTTTTTCAGGCTGCGAGATGAGATCGATAATGGCAACGGGTTAAGCAAGGATCAGGTGCAATGCCCCCCCATCACAGAGGAGAAACCCCGGATGTATTTACACATCCTTTCTCGAGTGCATGTACAGTAGCGTTTCCAAATTAGGTCGACCACTCCTGCTTCCTCGTGTTATATGTATCTGCGTATTGTTTCGAGAGAGAGAGAGAAGCTGTTGGTGCATACGGAGAAAACCGCGAGTTTGTGCGTTGCGTATACACATCGAGCAAGTTAGCTCTCGCGCGGTCGTGTTTATCGAACGCAAATTGCTTCGTCGGGGTGGGCTCTGTTGTTCCGAGTTTTGGGGATGGATGTTTCGCGCGCGATGCCGAAGAAGAGGGTTAATTATAAGTTTCGGGGGTTCCTGAAATCTTGTGTACTCTGCGTACCCGACACACGCACATGTGTACAATTGACACAGAAAATGAATACAACGTAACTATGTCCTCCTGTTCCGCCCTAATGGCACTGCCGTGGAGTCATGACCATTTTTTTTTTTTTTTTTTTTGTTGCACATTTGCCTTCTTACCGCGGACTGGAACTGCGTGGAAGGCAACTGCTTTTGAAAGTGTACACCGGGAATATGACGGAAATGTGCGAGTGAGTCTTGCGAGCATTTCTGCGGCTGCATGCCATAAAGTTGCCTCTGCGAAAGAGATCGGCTGGTGTGCATATTTCCGAGGGCGTGCCTCCGACTTTGAACGTACTCTGACATTTTTCGGATTTCTATGGTGACTTTTCGTTTTCTTTTTTCCTTTTTTTTTTTTTTTTTTATTTAAACGTTTTAACATTTCGGGAATGATTTTCGGTGGAAAAAGCTTATCTTGAAATTTAGCTACGTATCTGTTTCCTCGCGTATATTTTTAATTTTTTTCAATTGTTATAATCGAGAGTCCACTGTAGCAGCGGCAAATGTAAACTTATCGAGCCGCGGCGTCGGATAAAATACAATTTTTTTTTCTAACTCGCTATCCATACTTCAAGAGTGAAAAATCCCACGTGATTATTGGTTCACCGCCATAAGGCTCGCTTGTCTCTCGTTTCAAAATGCATCGAGCAAAAGCTGTACTTGCACGAAATTACGGTGAATGCAAAGCAGCGGCGTGCTCCGAGAGGAGACTTGGGAAGAGTAAAAGCCGATTCCCAAAGCACCCAGCCGTGAATCAACATCGGCGAGCAGAGAAACTAATAAATGCGCGAGAGCAGGTAAATTCTAAAATTCGGGAGAGTATACAAGAGCACCGGGCGATTTAGCATTTATGCCGTATATACATATGTACCCTCGCCACCATCCAAACGAGAGACGTGAATTTCCCGATGCGTATATACTTAGGAGGAGGCGTGTGCTGCGTGAATTATAATTGCGAAAATATACGGCCTCGCGGCACATTAAGCACCGGCGGTAAGTACATACTCGAATGTATATACATTATATAATGTACACCGAAGCAAGGCGCATTAGTAGTCTTTCTGTGTATGATCTCTCTCTCTCTCTCTGCCTAGCCAGTCGTGCGGATAGTACCTTACCTTCGTTTCGGCTATTTTTCTCGTCTCTGGCGAAAACACCGCGAGCGCTCCGTGTTTTTAACGCGTGCTCAAATCGAAACGTAATTTTGCTGGATTTTTAATGAGATAAACAGCATCGGGGCTTGTTTTGGCTCGTTGGAAAATTTTAATCAACACGTATGGAATAGTCGTATAGTTTTTCGTAACTAGTGTACACTCGGCTTAACCAACGATTTATATATTTTCAAACAAATGCGACTGGGATACTTACCTTCAACCCACGATAACCAAGGATTAAAAGCTGATGTTGACTTACCTGAAAAGAAAGAAAAAGGAAAAATTTAGACATACACAGGACGAAGCAAAAAACAAAAAAAATTAATCGTTCATATCATCGTTATTGATTATTTTCGAATAGGTATACTTTAGGAAGAACAATTTAAATATCCAGAGTTGCAAAACGCGTTACCCCAAAGTTAATTTTAATCCTAAAACGAGGCCAAAGCCATACCAGGGGAGGTAAATATGTCTGTCTGGCAAACGCATGTCGGTGGTCTTCTCCCTTTGAACTCCAGCATCCGACGCGTAATTAAACCGCCCCCCGACACGCGCTATCGAAACAAAGACTTTTTAAATTTTTGTAATTACGCGTCGAGCCACCTCTTCGGAAATTGGTCGAAAATTGTGTTCAAAGCTCAAGGGTATTATCGCACGCTGATGGACCGCGGGTAAATATTTACAACCGGATTAGCGGCTTGTACGAGATTACATGCAAGAGACACCCCGTGTGGGCTCGTTGCGTATTTTGGGCACACGAGCGGTTTTTGTCATTTAAGATACCGTATATGTTCGGCTCAATGACGATTCTCAACTCCAATGACAAAAAAGGTGAGATTTGATTGGCCGGTGAAACGAAACGAAGCAACGATACGCGTATCAAATGATTCCGGAAGTCAACGGGAGATCACCGTCCTCATTGTCTTTTTCCCACCCCTCTCTCGGGCACCCATTGTCCGACCCTCGTATCTCCGACACATCGCCATTTACATTCGAGATCGCGTCGATTCCGGGGAAAGGGAAAACTACTCGTCCGAGGGACCTTTCCCACTTCGAGGGTAATGCCTTCGGACGC